GCTGGGCTCCAGCGATCATTCCGCCTCAGCCTTCCAAGTAGCTGGAACTACAGGCGCACGCTACCACGCCTGGCTCATTTTTTTTATTTATTGTAGAGATGAGGTCTCGCCAAGTTGCCCACGCGGGCTCAGGCAATCCACTCACCTCAGCCTCCCAAAGGCGTGGGATTACGGGCTGAGCCACCAAGCCCGGCTGAAAAACATCTTTTTAAAGACAAATGAACGGTGGCCCTTGTCACGAGACACATAAGCCAAGTCTCGGGGAAGCATTATCCAGAGTGTCATTGCCCACTGGGCTGAGTTACGGTATCTGCCTGGAGAGGATAAGACGGGGGGGCCAGCCCTGCCCACTCAGGGCTGCTGTCAGCTCATATGTCCTCTTTCTGCAAATGAGACAAGGTGCACACTTGGCAAGCATTGCGCAGCTGGATTTTGGTCCCCACTTGCCCTTTGGGCAGTCACCTTGTGCAATGAGCAACCTGGACAACCATATGGGTCACCCCTATGGCCACCCCAGGAGGGAAAAAGATACTTGGGAGTCGAAGGGCTGTGAGTAGACCACTTAAGCTCTGTGAGCTGCACTTTCCTCATCTGGAAAATTGGAATCAACAGAGGGTTGCCAGAGGTCCCCGCTCTGAATGCCAGACCCTTCTCCCCACCCTCACTGGAACACCCTGAGCATTATGCTGCAGAACTTGCCAGATATCCCATCTGAAAATTTTTGCTGATGGACAACCCCACCAAGAGGCTTCCAGGAGCCTTTGAAGCCTCCTGGAACAAAGAGAGCTGGCCTCAAAGCCCAAGTCCTTTTCTACCCTCAGAGCCACAGGAAGCAAAGAGCTCCGACCAGCACAGGCCCAGGTGTGGGACCCCGTGGGTCACCCAAGAAATAGCCTTAAGTGCTTATTAAGAGGGGAAGGGAAATTATTCCTAATTGTCAAGGTTTTATTTTACTTGACAGAAATCTAAAATGCCAAGCGGGCCCCATGATGCTGAATACCCGGGCACTCCAGTGATGCCTCTGGGCCTAGAGGGACGCTTGCCAGGCCAGCACACAGTAGGACCCCAGAACATGGTGGCCTCCTGGGTCCACGCCATCATTGGGTTATGCCAGCTGTGGAAACTTCTGTGAGGAAATGAAGGAGAAAGCCCGGCCCTGACACATAGACTTCATTGTGCTGATATCCCCAACTTGTCTCTGCCTTGAAACCCTGCAACCTGGGGAGTTCAGTGCTGGCCAGGGTCCCTCCTGGCCCCCTGGCAGCGTTACCTACCCCCTGACCTCCACGTTAGAAGCTCAGTGACCTCGGGCAAGACAATGAACTTCTCTGTGCCTCTGAATCTCAGTTTCCCATCCTGTAAAAAGGGTGGTCCTAGTTATAACAGACCCTTAGGCTGCTTTCAGGTTCCCGGAGACATGAGAACACCCAGCACGGCTCTTGGCACATAGTAGGTACTCAGCAAATGTGAATCCCTTCTTCTTCATGACGCGCCCTCTTCCCTCTCCCCTTGCCAGAGTCTCAGATCCTCGTGGGCATCGTGCGGAGGGCTCAGTTGGTGCAGGCCCTCCAGGCTGGGCCTCCTTCCTGGGCTCCAGGACAGCAGGTGGACACTTGCGAGGGGTGCGGGTCCTCATGTGGGGATGGGGGGGGTCAGCTGGGCTGTGAGGGGAGGGGCCCACTGTTCTGCGGGAGCAGCCTGGGGAAGGGGAGCCTGGTCCAGTCGCCTGAAACGCTTCTGTCCTCCCCAGCGCTGTCTCCAGGACGTCTTAATGGGGGGCTGCCCGACGGAGCCGGTGACCCTGCAGCTGTCCCCAGAGACCTCCCTGCATCAGGTGATGGGGAAAATCTGGGAATGCAGGCACACGAGGGCTCTGGGGCAGAGGGAAGGAGCCTGGCGGGAAACTCAGTCTTCAGAACCAGGGTCGCTGGGGTGGTGCAGAGAGCAGGGATGGAGGGGCTTGGGAAATGGAAGCCCCCCCGGCAGAGACACGCGGTGGCATTGCCTCCAGGCACACGGGTTTCAATTTCACGTCCACCACGTTCTCCCTGTGTGATCTTGCACAAACGACCTAGCCGCTCAGGACAGAGCCCGGCACATGGGGTGGGGTGGGGTAGAGGCAGGCAGGGAACCTCTGCTGCTGGATAATGGGGTCTTTTCTGCCTGAGGCCCACCCAGTCCCTTGTGTGGACTCTGGGGGCCCCGAGTGGCCATGCTGGACATTGCAGGTTTGGGATCCGGGTCTTCCCTCTACGACAGGCGGGATTTGGGGGAGTGAGGGGGCCAGAGGGTGAGGTGGGCGCCCCCTCCAGTGTTTCCTGCGCTACCCCAACCAGGCACACAACCTCTTTGAGCTGTTGAACCTTCAGTCGCTCTTCGTGACGTCGCGGGGCAGAGCTGTGGGCTTCGTGTCCTGGGTGGAGGTATCAGGGACCCCGGCTGGGGGTGGGGGGTGGAGGAAGAAAGATACCAGCGTCCTCCCATCCAAAACTTGGGGGGCCTTATAGGATCGATGAGCCCCACTTCCTGGCCCAGAATGGCCGCTGGGCCTGGCTACCCCCACCTTGTTCTGTGGCCAGCCTGTCCTTCTCTGGGCCTCAGTGGTCCCATCTGTGCAATGGGAGGCACCGGCTCCACTATTCACCCCAGAATCGACCACTGGGGGAGCCAACAACGCTGGAGCCCCACTCTCAATCTGCCTCCCTCCTTCCTCCAAGTCTCCTCTCCCCCGCCCCTGTCCTCTGCTCTAGATGAAGAAGGCAATCTCCAACCTGGCAAATCCACCAGCCCCCAAGTAAGCCAGCCCGGCGCGACGAAACAGGGCGTCCCAGCTGCCCTGGCCAGCGAGGCTGGGCAGAGACCCTGACTCCTCCCCCATCATGACACCGCCTCCCCCAGCCCGGCTCAGCTCCTTGGCAAAACAGGCAGCTCTAACCTTGCCCTGAAGGGGGGTCTCATATTCACCATGTCCCATCCTGGGTGGGATAACGGCTCCTGCCTTGGAAGGCAAATCCCACCTTGGACACATCTCAGAGTGTGAGATAACAAAAAACCCGTCTAGAGCAGGTGCCCAGCGAGTGGTCACCAAATTCATGAACAAAGAGCTTGGCGTACACTGTCACCAAGGGCAGACACATGCTGTCTGGGAGTTGTCCGACTCCCATCCAGAGGTCCCTGAGAAAAATAAAGCTGGTCCCCAGAGCCGTGCTCATCCTTCATGTCAGCTCCAAGGGCGTTGATGGGGCCCCTGAACTCCCTATACCTGTGGCCCAGAGCGAGGGCCATGGTGGTCACGTGAGCACAGCAGGCCTGGGTCCCTGGTCTCCTCCTGATGCTCCACTTCCTGGCAGGGCGATGTCGGGGACAGAGGGTCCCCCACCAGGTCATTTGATGCTTGTCCCTGTGTATCAGCAGGACCCCATGCCCTTCACCCCAGCCCTCGTTTACTCCTTGGCTGAACCATGGCTGGTAAAATGGGGTCCCCGGGTGTGGCTCCTTGGGGAGTCCAGAGAGCCTGGGCATCCTCCGAGGGGCCTCTCTCA